GACAATAACTACTCACAGTAATTTGTCTAACTCAATAACATAACAACTCAGGAACTTTTATACAACTTCGACTGGTTTCTGAATTATTGGGATTATTGATATTTACAAAAATGATAATAAATTGAACTAAACCACTTTGTTCTGCATAACTTTAAGCAACGAGGTTATCAAAATACCAAAAATAGTTAGGTACTTCTTCACTTTGAAAGATCATAGAGCGATAAGATAAACTGGTCCTCTTTATGACGCATCTTCAGGGCTAGCTAGTACATGATTACGCTGGCCTCGAGACTAAAAGAACCTGTATATCCTGTAGAAGGTGACGTAGAAGGGGAAAGAGAGCAACGACTCCCTACCACTACTACTGAGTGTATAAAAGTACTGTACTTTTGGCGTCGTACTCATGATATATTTCTTATATATGAATATATATACTTGACTTGGTAAGACGTAAGAGGAAACGCGTAAAGCATGAGAGGTTAGAAAACGACTGTCCCTACACATTCCAGCATAGAAATTATACTCCAAGTAGCGTATTATTTGTACTTCCTACTATCGTAAAGTATTCAGGCATTGTTGTTAGTCTGAACCAAACCAAAACTATTGTATATTTTATTTTAAGAATTATTATGGCGTCTTTACTAACTCCTTGTGTTCGTAACAGATTGGTGGGTGTGTAGTATACTATATATTGGTGTGCTCTTGGTGTGTCACAACGAAAGGATCTAGCATGATATACACAGTAACTGCCTCAGGGTTAGTTCAGGTCACCTCCATACCCTTGTCATATCTCTCACACGCACCTCAAGTAACTCTCAAGCTAAGGATCTCTCTCACACGCACCTCAAGTAACTCTCAAGCTAAGGATCTCTCTCACACGCACCTCAAGTAACTCTCAAGCTAAGGATCTCTCTCACACGCACCTCAAGTAACTCTCAAGCTAAGGATCTCTCTCACACGCACCTCAAGTAACTCTCAAGCCAAGGATCTCTCACATGCATCTCAAGTAACTCTCAAGCTAAGGATCTCTCACACGCACCTCAAGTAACTCGCAATCCAGTCATCTCTCTCACCGCACCTGAAGTAACTCTCGCATCAGGAATATCGTAAATACATAACAATAAATAATTATATTCCTTTTATATCATTATTACCGGAACCTTCTATCTCTCATAAAGAGTTATAAAAAATCTTGTAATATCATGATGATAAGGTATCAATATTACCTCCCTTATAGTAAAGCAACAACTTCTTAAGACGCAAACTAGAACTATTACTGACTACTAAACAAGCTAGAATGCCGTTTTACTCCAATGTGAGATCAACAATTTGTCAAAAAAAAAAGAATGCTGATTGTTTCATTTTATTTATTCAAACACCAGCATAATTCAGTCCCAGTGACACTGAACTAGTAAATATAACATTAATAAAACTTTTGGTAATTGACGTTTATGAGAAATTACGGATTACCTGAAAATTAGTCACCCGAGTTTGTTTTACCTGAAGATTAAGCAGCCTAAACGTTAACCTAACCTAAATTTACTTGATCTAGCATAATCTAATTTAATCTAACTTGACCTGACTTAACCTACCCTTACCAAACCCTTCTCCCAGTAGCGTTAGGGTGAAATAACCTGGGGTGGTTAATCGTCAAATGATCCAAATATAATTTAAAATTCATTTAAGTAGTTTGTTAACTGAGATACAATAAAATTCATGTTAGTTGTTGCTCTTGATTTTATTTTGTTCGTAAAAACAAAAAAAATTCAATTAATTTTAAGGAGGAGAAGGCGGTGGTGGCCGTCAAGACTTCTTTGTGTGATACATGACTTAAGAATCTACAGACGTCGTCACGGCGAGTAATGCCTCAGAGCCTTGGATAATGTTTTCTGTCTATTAAGAGCAACATCTCAGTCTCGTAAATTGTAATGCTTGTAACGTTGTCTGGCAGTAAGACGACGGGCAGACAATGTATGACAGCCTCGTGTGTAATGTGCGTGACACAGCCCAGGCACCAAGTTCCCTGTTCACTGTGAACTCAGCTTTTAAATGTTGATAAAGTGTGTGTGTGTGTGTGTGTGTGTGTTTTATGGGGATTAGCCCACCCGGGCACAGGTCACTGACCCACATCAGGGCCTGGGGGGCGAAATAATAATAATAATAATAATATCACAATAATAATAATAATAATAATAATAATAAAGGCCATAAAGAAATGCAAAAAAATATAATCAATAGTGAGAAACAATATATGTATGTTGTGTTCTCAAAGTAAGAGAAACAATTGAGACCCTGCAATTGTGTGTAAATGTGGCAGAAAATCAGATCAGCAGCCTGGGATTTGGTCACAATTTTCGTGATGCCATATGGCAGCAGGGTCTACCATTAGACAACACATTATGCTTCCAATATCTTCCTAGGCAGTAGTACCTCCCTGTTTGGTAGCTGCCTGCTACCTACTACTGTGTGTGTGTATAAGCCGACAACGTTTTCATTTATTAAGAGAAAGTGTATACAATTTTCGTAGAGTAATTTTTATAATACGAAAAAATATAAGCACAGATACAGACGTATTACATAATAATGGAAGTAGTGTATAAACGCCCTCTGTCCTGAGTCTGGCTTGTGCGCGAGAGCAGAGACTTGTGTAAACATGTGCTGGCAAGTGTTTGGTGAGGTAGAGCTATAGAAGAGTGTGTGTGTGTGTGTGTGCAGGGGCCCATACCTGACTATAGTCGAGAGGGTGGTGAGAGGGAGGGTGGTGAGAGGGAGGGTGGTGAGAGGGAGGGTAGAGTGAAGAGGGAACAAGAGACAGCGTTGGAACATAGACGCCGAAAAACAATCTAAATAAATTTCAACGAGTGAGTTGTTTGTTCCTCCATCTACAGACCGCTCTTATAAAACCATCGATTTTTGGACTGGCTCTCAAAGTCAGGAGCGACTCACTCTCTCTCTCTCTCTCCCGCATGTTCTCCCCGATAACGACCGTAGAATACACAATACGCGGAGAGGGATTTACAGTGCTCTAGTTACCCCTAAAATTGGTTGGTAAGTATGGTGTAGAGGCTCCATCTCACGCCGGCCGATGGAACTACAATATACAGGGAGAGAGTGACAACTGCTTGTACATACATGTATAATAGTCTTTCTATCGTCACTTCTTCCGGCCACACCAGACACGTGACAGTACCGCCACCCATGAAGGGTTAACCATCTAGGCAGCCACTTCCCTACTCCGCCACACACACTCCTCCACAGAACAGTCAGCGGGAAGTCTACCATATTGCTAATACGATGTGTAATGTGACCACCAACCTAAACCTCAGAGACCAATTATCCTGTTAAAGTGTTGCTGGCGATTAAAATCCTCAGTATAACGCGTTTCCTTAGTACCTTACGGGATCTACTTACCATACCGTGTAAACATAACGTGGAGGTTTTAACACCATTAGTGTGAATAGAACCATCACTGGGACAGACAATGTGACGGAGGCGTGAAGGAGGGTGAGTCAGTGGTGGCACCAATGTTCTATACCATCTTGATATAATTTATAGTTGTCACCCCTCTCACCTTCTCCCCATTCCTTATTCTGCCTTAACTGGGGGACCTAATCCTGCATCATCTGTAATCTGTTTAAATATTGAAATTTTGGTGTTATAAAAAAATTATGATGGTCCCGAGGTTACTATAAGGCTCGCCAACAGCTGGAAGTGTACTAGAAATTTACAAGAATGATCATTTATCATGATTATGAAGGAAATAATTTTTTCAGGAGTAGCCGTAGTAGCATAAAGCGGTGGCCGAGTAGACATAGCGTTCGTTTCCTGGCTTTAGGGTCGATAGTTCAAGCCCAGGACACTCACAATTCACCCAGCTGTGAATGGGTCCCTAACTTTACAACATTGACAGTTTAGGCTCTACTCTGAAGATGGAATACGTGATATTCATTTTATCAATAAACATTTCAGTGCTCAAGATCAGTGTCGTTTACCTGGTGTTGCTCTTCATTCTAAGGTGATTAATTACAATAAACTTTGTCCAATGATAGGGTATACAATCGCGCGCACTTATACTAACCTGACCTACAGGTAGGCAGATGTACAGGTAAGCAGGTGTACTTGTAGGCAGGTGTACATGTAGGCAGGTGTACAGGGAGGTACGTGTACAGGTAGGCAGGTGCACATGCAGGTAGGTGTACAAGTAGGCAGGTGTATAGGGAGGTAGGTGTAGAGGGAGGCAGGTGTACAGGGAAGCAGGTGCAAAGGTAGGCAGGTGTACAGGGAGGCAGGTGCACAGGGAGGCAGGTGCACAGGGAGGCAGGTGTACAGGGAGGCAGGTATACAGGGAGGCAGGTGTACAGGGAGGCAGGTGCAAAGGTAGGCAGGTGTACAGGGAGGCAGGTATACAGGGAGGCAGGTGTACAGGGAGGCAGGTGCACAGGGAGGCAGGTGCACAGGGAGGCAGGTGTACAGGGAGACAGGTGCACAAGGAGGCAGGTGCACAGGGAGGCAGGTGCACAGGGAGGCAGGTGCACAGGAAGGCTAGGCTACTGGCTGGTGTCCCCCTAGCGAGCAGAAGCACGGGCGGCGGCGCCACCGCATGCCAGCATTTTGTTAAGCACATGCTAACAACACATGTTAAACTCCGGGCTGATATTTACAAGAGACTGTACCGTTATTTACTTCAGGCGACGCTGATTGGCTCCAGTTGGTCACGTGACGCAGCCATATGGTACAGCTTGACTCTGCGCATGCGCCTCGCGTGCTCTGTTCATTGCTAAATTAAATAATTTATATTCTATCAAAATTAGCCATCGGCAAGTTAGTTATATGTCTCCAAATGTATTTATTCAAGTGTGAATCGAATTTGATGTTAAAATCACAAGATCGACACGTACAGTATACGGTGAAAAACAAGCTTCAGTGTAGTATACCAAGAACTCTGAAACTTGTCGATGGCTTGTGAAATGTTGGCGCGAGAGCGAGGAGCAGTCGACTCACAAGTCCGTCGCCAATCGCGCGGTGTGCCGCCACGGAACTACAGAACCATCTCTGGTGAAATCGAAAGTCGCCATGCCTCTTAAAACACCCAAGATATAAAAATGGAACTATAGACACATATCTAAATACCTTTAAAGGAAGAGAGAAAAACTTTGAACAAGTTCAGTGTGTTATAAGAGAGGGAATGGGCCCAACAGTGTATCCGTGGCAGGACTGGAGAGGAAGTTGGCTCCCTGAGGCTTCCCAATGTTTACCGTAGTGGGGGAGTGGAGGTGGCGCCCGGCGGTGTTATCTACTGTGGCCTCGTAATGATATGATCCCTGACGACCTGCCATGGAGGACTACTTCTATCTGGAAGAGGCGGGCTACCCAAACGTGGCCTATCGAGGAACTAAGACGGAGTACGGGGAAGTCATCTCTGGCGCCAGGCAAGGAGTCATCAACAACGGGGGCGCCACAGCTCCTGCCAACGGTGAGGGGTATGAACTGACCCTGCTGGACTCCCCTTGTGTCTACGATGTGGGGCAGTACCCGAGTTACCATGGCGGAGGGGGAGGCGGGACAGCCTTTCCTGACGCAGCAGTGTTTCCGCCTCAGTATAATCAAAGTTGTAATTTCAATGCAACAATTGGTAAGGTTCCAAATTCTCTCCCTCCTAAAGATTTCAGTCTGAACCTCCTTCAAGACACCTCCCACCACACAATGCCTGAGAGGGAGAAAGTACCTCCCCACAGAACCTACGTGCGCCCACAGCGACGGAGACGACACCGGCCGCCAGGCAAGGAAGTCGTCAAAACGCGGAGAGTGGCCGCTAACGCCCGAGAGCGCCGTAGGATGCACGGCCTAAATGACGCCTTTGACCGTCTCCGTGAAGTAATTCCGTGTCTGGGCAGCGACAGGAAATTATCCAAGTTTGAGACGCTGCAGATGGCACAGACATACATCGCCGCCCTACAGGAGCTGCTCAAGTCGTCTGGGGCTTCAGTATGAGGATCCTGCCACGAGTGCAATGGGGATTATCAATACGTGTATTTTTTACTTGTTAACATAGAAAAATAATCTTTGACATTATATATTTAAGAAGTGTGTACATAAACATATTAATTAAAACATTGTCTTTAATCACTGATCTGTGCCAGGTTAATTCTACTTAGTTTGTCTTTATCCAGTGAAGGGATTGTTGTCGAAAAGTAGAGAGAATTATTCCAAGAAGAATTGTTACTCATCTTACATTCAAATACCTAGTACATTCAGAGCTTTAATTTTTTTTTTCATGAAAATTTTGCTAAGAAAAAGTCTCGTTCAACAGACATGACTAAAGTGATAAACATTCGTATATAAAAATAAGACAAAAGAACTCATCAAATTTTAGACATATCTCTAATTCTTAACACTAATAACAAAGATCAATTTAATTGTTAAAAAAATGTATTTGTAAAAAAAAATCAGTTGGTGTTAAGAAAGAGACAATACATGAGGGTAAAAAGTGTCTCTCTAATTATTCTAAACTAACAAAGTCCCTCAAACTTTCCGCTTAATTTTCTAAAAATTGTCTGTTGAGGAAACTATGACTATGTGAACGTTGCATAATAATCCTGGCAGCTGAAGCACTAAACAGCAGCACCTGGGGGGGCCCCTCAAGTTGGGTCACGGTATTTAATCGACATCCCCAGCAGATACCACTAACAGCCTCAGGTGTAGAGTGTGGTGAGGGGAAGGGGTGACACTCAAGACGGACACCAAACTATTTAATGAAGTATTAGTATTAAATCTCAGCCACTTCCCAGAGAGATGACAGACACATGGTCAAATCGTGAGGCTCTAAGTTGATAATAGCAGCTTTAGGTTCTGCTCTCTTGTCAAAGCTATTCATTGTCTAGCATTTTCTGGATACCAAATATACTCGTGTATCGTAAAGGATATTTAAGTTCCCTGCTGCACCTGACCTGAACAGTTTTTAATGTATTCATCATTAAGGACACTGATCGTGTCTAAAACATATTAATTAATTGACTTAACACAGAGGCTACAAACACTCTCAAGGTGCGCCAAGGAAACGGAATATCTTTATGAACACACATGGACGTTCTGTGATAAGTTATTTTACTGTTATTTATTGTTATTTATTTATTAAGTCAGTAATTAACATTGTTAAGTCTAAATTTTGGCAATTGGAACTCTAATGTCTACAAAAAATCTGTTTTATTATATATATATTTCTTTCTAGAATAAATATATAGAAGACTTCTTGGAGTTTAATTCACATACCCTCATACCTGTCACTATATGTTTACACGTTTAGCAAAATATTAAAAAATAATGGCGAAAAGAAAGAATATTTAATAAAAAACAATGACTGATAGTTCACATTATAAGACTTTCATATACTGTAGAAGATAATAAAGGTGCATGAAGGTGGAGCCTGTGTCTGGGGCCAGCAGTGTGTGGTCACCCCGGTCTTACCTGCAGCTCCACACTCCCACAGTCGACACCATTAAGAAAACTTCATGACGTAAACTATGAGTCTGATCCTTCATCTAAGTGTGTGTGTGTGTGTGTGTGTGTGTGTGTGTGTGTGTGTGTGTGTGTGTGTGTGTGTGTACATACGAAGGATCAAGTATACATAAATTTGATACACATTACATATTTACAGCATTACCATTAACCTGCTAACCCTCTTTCTAATCTAACGTAGTACACGACCCTAACTTACTTAATTTACCTGAAGTTAAGTTATAATACAAAAACATCTTGACTGTCGCAAAACGTATCGGTGTATTATAAGACGTAATATTCCCTACAACACACCACATGGTATTGTTTACGTGCATATAAACCTCCTCGTTATGGAGTACTATCATGGTTCACATCTCCTGGGAGTACTGTACTTCTCATGATGACAGTTATCACCACAGATATGGAATATTTTAGTGTGTTTTATTCCGGATGATTTCTGGTACGGTATATTATATGAAGTGTGTATCCTCTCTGATTTTCTTTTGTTTTATATCCATGTTTATATATGTGTGTTTGTGTATGTACTGTATGTGATGTGTGTGTGTATGTGTGTGTGTATGTACTGTATGAGGTGTATGTGTGTGTATGTACTGCCACAACACTCACACATCAGCGGTGGTGGGGTATACTGTACAGATACTCCAGCGTTACCCCTCAGTACAAGAAGAGACTAACAAGGATTTCATGGTGGAAAAGGCTTCAATTCGGACCATCATAACTAATTAATGTAAATAATGCTCTCTGGGAACATAATGCTCTCTGGGGAACATAATGCTCTCTGGGGGAACATAATGCTCTCTGGGGGAACATAATGCTCTCTGGGGAACATCTTGCTCTCTGGGGGAACATAATGCTCTCTGGGGAACATAATGCTCTCTGAGGTAACATAATGCTCTCTGGGGAACATAATGCTCTCTGGGGAGCATAATGCTCTCTGGGGAACATAATGCTCTCTGGGGAACATAATGCTCTCTGGGGAACATAATGCTCTCTGGGGAACATAATGCTCTCTCATAATGCTCTCTGGGGGAACATCATGTTACGGTTGTCAGAGTTTAACCCATCTTGATCACTGCTTAACTTCCTGTACCTGGGCAGTTCCGTAATCTCGTTGCTCACCTGTAATTTAGTAAGTCTTAAAAACTCAAAAGCTTCCCCCGTTGCTTTTTACCGACGGTTTCATTCATAGATTTCCTGGCCATCTCTTGTGGTGAAATTATCCCCTGCTATTACCTGTCACCGGCGTCACATGGGACATACTGACATAACGGCACTCTCAGCGAGTCAACTTTGAAGATAGACTATGATGTAAAGTCAGAAATAATATTACTGAAAAGCAAGTGAGAATTTTATCATATTAGAATCCGAAAGACCGATATTATTTTCTCAACTGACGATGAATAAAATACGTGTGAGTATTGTCCGCCATGAGTTACGCGTCTCATAGAAAGTTCAGTTTCTTATTGGCAGTGAGGTGTTACAGGAGGAGGAAGAACTTTGACGTGTGACAAGTGATGCACGTGTCTGGGACTGACGTGGTCCTCTAGGAGTGACGTAGACACTCGGGGAATGTTTCCAGAAAAGTAAGTTGTTTTATTTTCGTCATTCATTATACTACTCTTCACCACAACAACACAACAGTACAGTAGTACTTACATCTCACTATCATGCATCACTAAGTTTCTGTTCTCTATCTGTAATGACTCACGGAGAGGACAGTTAATAACAGTGACTTGGGTAAGACAATCTGCCCTACAGAACAGATCTACAGTACATACAATACAGCAATCTTATTTTGTAGAATCACTTTCCAGTGTTAAATCTTGGCCGTCTGAGAATACAAAGACCCTACTTGGTCCTGGCAGAGTCATCAGAGTACCAACACATTATGACGACGAATTTCTTTAAAGGATTAAAGTGTAAAACAGGTAAAGTTTGTTTTCCTGCAACATTAAGGAGACAGTTTGTGTGTTTCTGGGAACAAGTTGTTTTATCACACATGGGATCTAAGCAGCGCTTGTTGACTAACATGTGTGGTTCACACTGTTAATGTGGCTCTTTGTATGGCTCATGACGCCCATAGTGTTATAACACGCGTGGTAGTGTCGTTGCATGTGACTCGGGTGGCATATGAAGTTATCATTGTTTAGTTCTGGCTGACAGTCAAACTGTCATCACCTGTAGATCAGGTTACTCTTGCTGTCAACATATATTGTATACATACAGTATATAGTAAAGTCACTGGTAAGAATCATCACTAGTTAGTCAGTTATTCTCGTTATCTCAAGTGGACTCACTCAGGTATGTATTTTCATACAAGTGAATAAGATTTAACGAGTGTCATCACGCACATATTACTCCGGCAGTAGCTATTTGAGGCTTCAACACATACATTACCCAGGCATCAGCTGCCACGACATATGTGTCTGGCAGAATAAATAAAACAGTTAAGATGACATTCCTGTCATAAAGTGAAAAAAATAACATGGCGAATTTACGACTCAAGAGACTGACGGCGCGAGCAAACAACTGAGATGTGAAGAGAACTCTTAGGTGTTACAACGGTGTTACTGCTCGCCAATAAGTGATGAAAATTGCCGCAAACGCAAAATAATCGACGTAGTTTTGCCTAATAATGCATTTTAAACATGTAATGTTCTACAGCTTAAGAACAGAAATTCTACCAACTGTCTAGGTATTAAACGTCATAAGTTTGCTCTTACAAGTCCGCGCCAACAGTAGGAAGCTACGAGGCATCTACTCTGCGGCGTTAGTTACTACAGCAAACATTTGGCATTATCCAGAGTGTGTTTCCTGTGAACAAGGAAACAGAAGAACGTGATGTAATGAGTTGTCTAATTCGGCTCCCTGAAACTTTTCTCTCTCTCTCTCTCTCTCTCTCTCTCTCTCTCTCTCTCTCTCCCTCTTTTACTCTTTTTTTTTGCACAACTGATTACCTCTCTTTATTCCTGTCAATTATTCTACCCATCTTTGTTTATTCGTTTGTCTGTCTATCCACCAGTTCCTTTATCACCCCAATATTTGTCAGGAACGGGAATTTGTTAAAAATGGGAATACTTCTAAGGAATCGAAATATTTGTCAGGAATACATACATATGTTTGGAATGGGAATATGTAAAAGGTAAGGTAATACTCAACAACAACAAGAAACCTCTCAGATATATACAACCATGAATGATATTCCATAATGTATTCTTGAAAATTTCTCTCCAGTGATCAGGAGTTAGTGACGATGATTCAGATATAGTCTGTGTGTTTGTCTTCCGTCCAGTTACACAGATTTTAGTGAATACCGCACCGCCGCACTGCATAAAACTGAACTGTGGCCACAATGGCGGGACTTTGCTGGTTTAAGGATAGTGTGGATACAGTAAACGGCTTACAAAGTCTTCGGTACACACTTAGGCAGCGTGGCTGACATTGTACTGTATTGCTTTCACTTCCCCGACTGTAAAGTTAAGTAACCATTTTCAACTGTGGGGAAGGGGGGTGGGGGGATGTGCCTCTGGATTGAGCCAACGACCCCTAGTTTAAGAGGCGAGAGTTGTATTCACTCAGCCACAACTGTCAATTTATTTGATAAGAATTGGCAGCTTCATCACCCCCCCCCAGAAATGACCTCAGCTTGTTGAACCCAACAATGTGGCCACCTACCTGATAAGGGAAGTCATGAGACACACACACACACACACACACACACACACACACTTATATACACCGATATTCAGATAACAGTTATAAAGATAAAATAATAATGAATTTAACAGGATGGAACGTTACATGCAGAAAAAACAGACACGTATAAACTGATACCAGTAATCTACTGTATACTATCACCCAACTTACTGCCATAACATACAACAAAACACAAACATACCTTATTGACTCCCATTACCAGCCTAAAGACCTACCTGGATGAAATAATAGTCATCTTAAATCACTAATAATTTCCTAACTACCATAGACTTGAGGGCGTGTTGGAGAGCCTGACTGAGGAGGTGGGCGGGGGACCAAAGATTCACTCCCTCCCTCTCAGTGCTTCATCACCATCCTTCCCCTCGTTACTCAGAGACCTGACTATAATCTACCCGTATAATTCCCCCCGTGAACACCGGGCGGCCATTATTATTAGGGCAAATTATACCAAAGCAGTAGTTGACGAACGTTAATTGAATACAAACTCCAATTATAGTGTTTTTTTTCTTTATTTTTTTTTCAGGGGCGGAAATAAAATGATCCATCACCTCACCAGAGCCAGAAGACTTTAACTCGTGCCAGGGCCGGCTAACTACTGCACCACATGACAGGTCTATGATGAAGCACTGACTCACAGCCAAACTAGAGCGATCATTCAATAACACAAAAAAACAACAACAACAACACTGCTGTTAGGTTGAGCTTACCAAGAATTCGGGAGTCTGTAGAGAGTGCAAGACCATGGGGTTTACCCTTGTGTTTACAATACGTGTAAACCTTACCGATAGACAAGCTTATGATTTAGAGTTCATTAATATACTATTCAATTATCTGGGAAGACTTCGCTCGTAAATATCATTATCATTCAAAGCTCCATATTCATGTCTGAGGGTTGGCGACCACAGTCCTCCACTCTAAACGTTCTCCCAGATTTTGCATCTTTTTAGGGGTCAAAGGTTTTGATTCAATTCACCTATATTGGT